AGCTGTTGGACAGGCCCATGGACTCAAGGCCAGTGCTCTTTTCACCCTCAGACATCTCACTAGTCAGCATCAGATAGATTAGATGCAGAAACAGCCAACAGAACAAGAATTTCCTTCTGACTTCTGCTGGTGTCACTATTTCTAGTATAGCCCAAGTGCTCTGTGACTATCAGTTATTTCAGTAGGATAAAACAGAAATAAATTTGGGGGCTACATCTAGCATTTGGGGGTGAACCCCAAGTTGGGGGAAATTTTTAAAAAACATATAAGGGCAGCTTAGATGTAAAGACATATAAAACACGATTTTTGTGATTAAAACCACATTGTGGTATTTTACATAATCAGGATTTGACTTTATGAAGCTTTATTTTGCTAAAAAGGAAACTTTTTTTTTCTTCTGCAGTTGTTATCCACAGTTCTATCACCAGATGCTTAAAGCAACATTCTTGTGCTTTGCTGACAAAAGTTTATTAATAATGATCCTGATTTTAGAATTCACAATCTCCTGCATTCAGCAGCTACTTATTAAATTACTATTCCTTAGTCCAGGTAAAAATTTCATGAAGAGGCCCCTAAAAAAGTGTTTCATTTAAGTAAAAAAACTGTTTCTATATAATTGAACATCCCTGTACTTTCATAAAATACATATTTAAAACTTATTTCAGAATTATATAGCTAGTTTTCAAATGACCCCACCATTTTATTCATCAATATGCCTCTCACTCTTCTCTTCAGCTTAAATTACAAAAGGTATCATTTTATAATTTTTGCCAGCACCAAATCCTCTTGGCCCTCTTTCCTCTGTCTTGGAAACTTTCAATGCTTAATGATTCCAACTCTAAAAAACTGATTATAGTTCAAAGCATTTTTACCATGTAGGAACATACTTACTGAACTATTTTTCTACTGGTTTGAAACTCATGTATGTTCATCTTTCTTTTCCTCTTTAAACTTTTTATCTATTGATGGTCATTTAAAAACGTATTAACACTACTAATATGCACTTTTTTGATCTCTTTACTTATGGAATCATTATTTTGCCAATAATGATAGAGTCTATACTGAAATACAAACTTTGCATTAAATTTATAATTCTGGTTTTTCTTCTAGGTCATCTAGGAGTACAAGTACATCTACTTCTCAGTCTTCAATTAAAGTACTGGAGCTTAACTTTCCGGCCTCCTCTTCACTAATAGGCAGCCCTTCTAGGCCAACTAGTGCTAGAAGTAGCTCTAGCAATGGTAAGAGCAAAAAGAGCAGCAAATAAACATTTTAATCTCTTCTGAAAAAGTTGTAAACACAAAAACAAAAGTATACTTTAAAATACAAAACAACCCAACACATTTTATTTAGTGGAAAGTGTAAAAACTTAGTGGTAAATGTAAAACTTGTTTAAAAAAAAAAGGAACGTTCTCATTTTCTCCATACTGAAGAAAAACATTAATAGCAGATTCTTGACAAGGCTACATATTATACAAGCATAGAAAAAATGCTGTATTTCACTGTAATTCTGATGTTCGTAGTGTTAGAAAATAGTTTGCTTCATTATTTCACGAAACTACACTCATTTCTAATGTAACAATCTTTCAAGAAGAAATGTCTAAAAATTTACTGCACTATTATGAGCTTATTACAATGTGAAAATCTCAATTACCCTATAAGACACCAAAATTAGGTTTTCTTTATTCAAAGTAACTATTTCTCAGACTTTTGGGGGAGGAAAATTGTTAAAGGCAGTTTCTTCTTTTGCTGTAATTTTTAACCAAAAAATAGCATCAACCCCCCACACCCCCCCAAAAAACCAACTGATAAGAGAAACACTGTATATCAATTTTAAAATGCAGCTTAAATTTATAAAAATCACTTCTGACCTTGAAAGAAATCATACGCATTATAGATTTGCCAACCAAGTATAAAGAATATAATTTTGAAATTTTCTTAATAAACAATTTAATGAAAGCTAGATAGGACATGATTTGCAATAGAAATTTCATTTAGTTTGAGGTAGACTGCCAAATATAGTAGTTTTTCCAGTTAATACTTTATTATAACATGTGCCCAACACTTTGTACTCTTGGAATGGTGTGGAATATTAGAAAACTGGATTTTAAATAAATGTATTAGAATTCATGAATGTAAATGTTGTCTCCTTCAAACCTGGGGAAAAAATACTCATTACAACTGTCATTATTTTAGAACTGTTGTTTGTATTTCTTTCTGAAAAGCAGTAGTGGTAGTGAATAGTTCTCCTGATTATTTTTAGTTTTGTTTTAGAAATAGGAAAAGGCATAGCAAAGTCCAAAGAATAAGGTGGGCAGAAAAAAACACTAGGTAATAAAATTTCTGGCTAAACTACTGCTCTAATGCATGAGATTTGTAAGACCTAAAAACTGATTAAAGTCACTTTGCTCATCAAAGTTCTTATTCTCAGCCCTATGCTAGTTTGGGAATTACTTAAAACTTGAAATAATATTAAACACTGTTCTATGAAGGCAGAGGTTGTATCTTACTGCCTCTGTAACCTTGGATAGTTACTTCCCTGAAAAAAACATTTGTACTATAGACACAGAAAGTTACCTACAAGTTTATTGAATTGGATATTAAAAAAAATGCACAGGGCTTGACACACAGAAATTGCACTAACAACTTCTACTTACCGAGTTGCCACCTGGAGCTTAGCACAGTATTTGTGGAATGGTTTGGTTCTTAGGCCAGCATACAAATCTACATTTAATCCTTAAATAACAGTTCTAACTTCAGTGTACTAATGATAAATGGTGCAACAGGGGATCAACCTATCTCCAAATCTGGACACTTATCCTCAAATCCAAAAGTCACGCTTCATTTGCTTATGGAGACCAAGATACGATCTTGAGAAAAATTCCTGAAGATGTCGCTAGGGATTCTTGACAATGTAAATCCCCAGTAATTTTTGCTGTGATGAGCTTCCTTAGAAATTGGTTTGTCTACTCTGCTTAACATGGCAAAAACTGCAATTACTTTTGCACCTACCTAATAAATTCAGGTAGCGTATAGGATAAGGTACTATTCTCTTACACTGAATGGGGTGTAATAGCCATTCAGACTGATGCAAGATATCTCATTTGGCTTTAACTTGCATTTTTCTAATTAGTGATGCTGAGCATTATTTTATATGCTTCTTGGCCATTTTTATGTCTTCTTTTGAAAAATATCTATTCATGTTTTCTGCTCACTTTTGGATAGGGTTTTTTGGTTGTTGAATTCCTTGTAAATTCTGGATGAGTCCCCTGCCTGATGCATAGTTTGCATATTTTGTCCCATTCTGCAGGTTGTCTGTTCACTTGTGTTCTTTTGCTGTGCAAGAACTTCGTAGGTTACTTGAAGTCCCATTTTGTTTTTGTTGTGTTTAAGAAACTAGTCTGGCTGTCACCCAAGCTGGAGTGCAGTGGCACAATCAGAGCTCACTGCAGCCTTGAACTCCTGGGCTCAAGCGATCCTCCCGCATAGCTGGGACTATAGGCATGCACCACCACACTCAACTTATTTGTAAATTTTTTGTAGAGATGGAGTCATGCTGCGTTGCCCAGGCCAGTCTCAAACTTCTAGCCTCCAGCAGTCCTCCTCCCTCAGCCTTAAGTGCTGGGATTACAGGCATGAGTCACTGTACTCAGCCCCTCTTGCTTGCACTTTTGAGGTCTGAATCATGAATGTGCCTATACCAATGTTGGTAGGTTGGCAGGGGGTGAGGGATGAGAAATTATGAAATGGGTTTACAATGTACATCATTTGGGTGATGGTTACACTAGAAACCTAGACTTCACCACAAAAAAAAATATCCATGTAACAAAAATGTACTTGTACCCCTTAAATTTATATGAATTAAGGAAAAAAAAAGTTTTTAAATGTTGTGTTTAAAATTTTAGGCTGTACTAGGGATTCCAAAATGTCAAAGGCTATGCCAAGAGGTAGTTTTCACTCATTATAAACACCACAATGTAGGACACTATGTAAAGATGATACTGGAGCTATTAATACATAGAATTGAGGACTCATTTAAGACGAATTTCTTAAAGAATCTTCTTCTTGGTGCAAAGACTAATGCTTTGAGTGACTAGCCCATTTCTACCACCATTATCTATTGCTCTTGAACAGGGTTTCTTTTCACTGTTCCATTTGCAAAACAAATTTCAGATTTCTCACTAGGCTCTCATCACTGGAGTCTGGTAGACACAAATAATACACACTCAGTGCTTAAGGCCTAGACATTTTACTGTTGGCAAGAACTGCAAGACAGAACAAGGAATAAGTCTCTTCTTCCTCTATTATTCTCCCTCACTTAGACCTCTGCAGATACCCAGCTACCCATCCACTTATCTAGTGTCACTGTGACAGTATCTAAAGCTCATTATAATTTACAGCCTTGAGAATCTTAAACTGCAAAGACTCCAATGACATCATAAACCCAGTACTTATGATTCCTATCTCTATCTCCCAAAGAATATACTACCCTATTTTCACAATTTCGGGAGGATCTTTATAATCCAAGTCTCTTTGTTCGTCAGCTGTAGCTGCTGGAATTTATTCTGAGTAAAACCAGGCTCTAGTTTGTCTATTTATTTATTCAGACTCTGAGAAAGGGGTCATCAGAGAAGCATCAAGGCACAGGAGGCAGTAAGGAGAAATGCAGGTCAGATTTAAAAACATGCCTAATGCCCTCTGGACTGAACATCTGCAATACGAGGACAGTTTCCCAATTTTCTTTCACTACAAAAAAGCCAGATTTACAATGTGCTTGTCTGCTACTGCTATGTTTTTGCTAAAAGGATTCTTTTTTTTTTCTGATTTACCCTTGCGTGGAATACAGGCCTTAAGGGCCTTGCAAATATTTAAAGTTAAAAAGCGTTTTATGGCTATGCTAGCAATGAGGTAAAAAATAATAACGGAGAAATAAGCAAAATGGGCTTCTATTCAACTTTTATGATCTTATTCCTAAGGCACTTATGCTGGGTGGAAGCCAATGACTCTTCACAAACCACTTTTAATCAAATCAGGCTTTAGAGGAAAATTAAGACATATAATCTACCATTTAAAAATTAAAAAAAAATTGGGCAAAAAATATTTAAACTGATAAATATAAAAGTGTTCAAGAAACATTCGAACATATAATCTTTCAAAAGCTGACGATTTTTAATTTAACAGAAAAATCAATTTTTATAAAAATGATCCAAGTGTTCAATGCACAAATTTTTCTCTCAAACAGCAGGATAAGATGGACCCAGGAATTCTCATATACCGTAATCGAATGAAGAAACAGTACTTTCAGAGAATTATCTTTAAGTGAAGAAATTCAAATTGTCAGAGTAATATACTGTACATAAACATATACATAAAAACTCTAAAAACCAGGCTGTGACAAGGGACCTACAACTGAAACCAAATTTGAGAAAAGCTTAAAAGCATTTGTTTCCTGTAATCTCTACAAATAATTTTAGGAGCAGAGATTTCTGCACTGAACTGTTATGACTAAAACACCCAGAAACTTAATGGCATTTTGTGTAATGGTGCTGATATCCTTGGTGTATTAATTTTTTGACTTATTTCCTTTTTCTTTTTCAAATTCAGCTATCTGATTAAATATATTCAGTAAATTCTGAGGTAAATTTTTTTTAACACTGCTTTCTGAGTGTTCTTTGCTACTTAGTGCATCTTCTTCTGGAACCTCTGTTTTGATATCCTCCCCATAATTGTCCTCTCTTTCATATTCTCCTTGATTTGTATTTAATCGGTATCTTTGCTCATGTCTACTGAAATCACGTGATCCAGAGTGAGTATATTTTTTGTATTTCTCAACTGACTTCCACGAGTAGTCTGAGCTTGCTGGCGAGGTAGAATGCCTCACAGAACCTGGTTCCCACCTTCTATAGTGCTCTTTTCTTCCCTCTATATCCTTTTCAAATCTCCTATAACCATAAATCTTGTCCTCTGAATTCCTACAGAAGGAATCTGAGGAATTTCTTCTACTGGAAAAATGTCTTTCTGATTTATATGGCTTTTCTGTTTTGCTACTACCTGCTTGGGTTCTATAGCTATTATAAAAATCTCTTGGATCTTCAGACCTACCTCCAAAATCATCCGGTATTTCAAGTGAAGATGAAGAGAGAGGGCATCTATCTTTCTCTTTTATCTGTGTCTTTTCATACTGTAACCTATCCTGCTTCCCCAGTAGTTTCTCCACTTCTTGTTTATGGTTAAGAAAAGACGCTGAAGTATTAGCTGGAACTGGGTAGCACTCATCTTTCCTATTCTGATCTATCTGACTTGAGGATGCCCTAGATGAATGCCTTCTGGAACTGCGAGAAGACTCTGAACGGTTCCTCTTATGTTTCTTATGCCTTTTGTGACCAGAAGAGGAAGAGGATGATGATGAAGACACTGATTCATCAGCAGAAGAAACACTTGAAGAGGAAGAAGTTGATTTTCTTCTTTTCTTCTTTAGCCTAAAAAAAACAGTTAACCTGTCATATATGTACAAAAATGTTTCTAAATTATTCATAAAGATGTGGGCCCGATTTGTTTCCTTTCAAGATTTTATAAAAGCTGTGGTTCAGATAAATGATACAATAATCTCGGCTATTACAAGATCTGATTTTACTATTAAGCACTTTTGGGGGAAAAAATGCTTGCAGACAGGTATCATTGTAAGCAAATCCATCATTTCTGAAAGACAGACTTTTTCAACACTACCTTAAAAACTTAAGACTACTGAACACATAAAGGAGAACTCAAGTTTTTTATTTGGCTACCTCTAGTTCATGGTTTCTTCACCTGATTACTGGTATATTCAGCCAAATAATTCTTTGTTGGGGGTGGGGGTGGGAGCTGACTTGTGCATTACAGAAAGTTCAATAGCATCCCTGACCATTATACACTAGATGCAGTAGCACCCTCAGTTATGGCAATCAAAAACGTCTCCAGATCTTGTCAAATGTCCTCGGGGGAATAAATTCCCCCCTAGTTCAGAACCACTGCTCTAGTTCTATTTTTTTTCTTCCTAAAATATAATTAAAGTAACTTATTCTATATTTTAATTCTAAGATACATTTTTTTGGTAGAATTCTAGCCTCAAATTCCACTTCATCCCTTTAATAGGAAAATACATGGAACACATATTTGCTAAAGATTCTTAACAGTCATTGATTATCACTTGAAATACTTCTATATTTTTATTTACTTTACCTCCAGTATGGCACTTTGGGTTCAATTCAGTAGTTGCCTTAAGTTTAAAAATACTGAATATTATAGTTTACCTCTTCTCTTCTTTTAAGAGCTTACGCAACTTTTCTGCACTTGTTTCTATTTTCTTTGTTTTCTGCTTTTCTTCCTTTTCAGCTTGTTTTTCTCTTAATTCCAAAGATTTCTTTTAGAACCCAGATATCGAAAAAAACCACACGTTAAAAATAGCAGCATATATAAAACCCAGTATTCAAAAGACCACCCCCAGCCAGAAACCCAATTTAGTAAAACCAAATCACCATAGAGCCAGCATTAAACAGTATTTTTTTAACATAAAAAAATTAGTCATACAGATGTTTGGCATTAGTCATTGAAATGGCCAGGACAGCATTGAGGACCATATTGCAGTTGGTATCCCATAAAAAAAGGGGAAGCCATTGCAGTGGTACCCATGATCCAGAGTGCAAGAAAGGTTAAAAAAAAAAAAAGTACATAAAAATTATTTTTAAAAATTGAAAAATTTAAACAGGACACATTTTACAAATAAAATTCAAAAAAAAAAATTCCATTAAGGTGAATTGAAGGAGGAATCACCATGTTCAAATACAAACCATTTAAAAAAATAGCACAGCCCAGTTGGATGCATGATTACATAGGAAATCATTTTCCAGTTTGTGGATGGGGATGAGCAGCACCAGATGTCACAGACACAGCAGCAATGGTCCAATTCAGAAGAAAATGCATGAGAAAACATCATCATCAGTATTACAGGAAAAGACAATTTAAAATATGTCTCATAAAGGTTTTTATAATTAACTCAATTATAGTAGCAACAATGGTAATTTAAAAACCACCAGGTAAGCTCACTACAAAGACATTTCTCAAAACAACATACCAAATTTAGGTAATAGTTTTCTCATAGCTATTTTTACTTTCAATTACGGACAAATACAGAGGCACTACGAAGCAATGTCAAACCCAATTAGGAAGAACCGTACCTAAAAAGAAACTTTTCATAATGCCTTACTTAAGTAATCTAGAAGTTTCCCTTAGAAGAAAATTAAGTTTGGGCATTATTTCAAATATCACTAAATTTTTCTAAGAGGAAATAAGGAATCACCTGCATATATTTATGAAGTTTCTGCAAAGCATCCTCTGCATCTTTAAAAGTCTCATCCAAAGCCAAAGCTTTCTTATAGTAACTTTCAGCATTTAAAAACTTTTCTTCTTCTTCTAACCTAAATTTAAAAGAAAGATTTAGCTTTTTTGTAAAAACAACAAAACCATCCAAATATGCATACAGGTCAAAGGCTTATAAGAGAGAGCTTACTAGGGAAAAGCCACATTTAGTAAATTATTTTCCAAAATAAAATACCAAAATAATATGCTTTTTACTGTAATTTATTTCAAAGACCACATAAACAGAAATCCATTACTAGTAACTAATATCCAATATTGGCACATTTTGGCAGTAATACATGAAAACCCATGATAAATAGGTGTCCACAAATTTAGTATAATCTTGAACTGTAGCACGTAATTATAGTAGCAGGCTCCTTTTCCCTAGCAGTTTATGAAAAATTATCTATAGAAAATTTTGGAAATCTTTGGAAATACCAACATACACATACATCACAACGAGCCTGTAAATAGCATAATCATTAAATGAAACTCACAAGTGTGGGTTGTGAAACACCAGAATGAGAAAGTTTAGACACAGAGCAGTCAAAGGACGTTGCAAAGTGCTTTTGGTTCTTAGAAGGAAAAAGAAATTACTGTAAAACAAATACAAGGGGATCACTTTTGTGTCAGTAGACTGGATATGGGAAACAAAGGACAAGTCAAAGATGAGCAATATCTCTGGCTTAAGTAACTGCAAGGTATTGCTATTCACTCAGCTAAAAGACACCAATACAAGGCTATAAGACAACCACATACAAATAGGTACTAGTTTTCTACCTAGTAAGAATGTAAAAAGTTGCTCCAATCATTAAATAGAAGTTCCTATGAATTATCAACGAATATTGCAAAATTTAGCTAACTTGGAATTTGTGATCACAAACAGGAATGACTATACAAATAGTACAGCCATTAAACCAAAAAATCTGAGTATATTATCCAAGGAAGGAGTATTTGCCTAATCTCTTGTACTTTTCCACTTATTTATTGAAACCAAGAGTGTTCTAAATTAAGTGCTTAAGAAACTATTTCCTTATGTTAAGTTCAAAATTTTTTAGTAGTTGGTTGAACATAAGACCTCTACTATTAAACAAAATCTGACACTTACTGTCCTCCTCTCTCTACAAGTGTCTGGCAGAGGTATTTTCTTGCATTTCTGTGAGTTGGACAGTTTTCTAATGCAAGCTCAAAATCTTCTATTGCTTTGTTCAAACTTCCTTTTGTCGCATATCTAGAGACATGAAACAAAATTAGAGGGCTGTATCTCACAAGCTCTTCATAAATCTTGTTTGCATTTACCTGGTAAACATTCCTTAAAATCCAAGTATGATTCACTTACAGTGCTCCACGAGCTACCAAAGCTTCCACGTTTTGTTTGTCTATTTCCAAAGCTTTATTGTATTCATTCATAGCATCCACATGGCGTCCAACTTTAAAATAATCAACTCCAATCTTCACACTAAGACAGACATTTGTAAAGCATCACAAACACTTCAAACACTATCTAAATAAAATGTTAGCGTGACTAAGTTTTAAAAGCAAATGTCATCAAACTTGGCAAATATTTATTTTTCAGAATACTCACAATATACCTAAGGAGCATTCTTCTGCCTTTGGACATTTTCACAATAAATATTGGTGAAACCCAGATATCAATATACTAATTCCTTTTGAGAAAACAGAAATGCTGAATAAAACTTATCTGTTAAGTGTAAAACCTGGTAAGTGTAAAATGTAAGACTACTTACATCTATAAAAGAAAAGCTCATGTCAAAAAGGCATCACTTTAATTCATCTCAAATTTGTCTTATTGATGACATAAGCATGCTTGCCTTGCCCTAAGCTTTTAGACTAGATATAATGCAACTGTTGAAAGACAGTCTTCATACCATTTTAAAGCCCAAGACGCAGATTGTTTTTTTCTCAATGCAGAAGCAAAATCATCTTCAGAGAAATTTTTGCTATTAAAGAAAATAAAAATTAAAAAGTTAAACCACAAATATTTTTTAAGTAACTATACTTAATTCTGCTTGACAGGCACTCAACACTGAAAGTATGAATCCCAAGTAAGAAATTTGCATTCTATTTACATACCAAAATCTTTGAACTTTCGAAATGATTATTATTGTTAAATAGTATTTTTCTTGGCTGGGTGCAGTGGCTCATGCCTGTAATCCCAGCACTCTGGGAGGCCAAGGCGGGCAGATCATAAAAAAAAAAGATTGAGACCATCCTGGCTAACACGGTGAAACCCTGTCTCTACTAAAAATTAAAAAAAAAATTAGCCAGGCATGGTGGCGGGCACCTGTAGTCCCAGCTACTCAGGAGGCTGAGGCAGGAGAATGGCGTGAACCTGGGAGGCAGAGCTTGCAGTGAGCCAAGACTGCACCACTGCACTCCAGCTTGGGTGACAGAGCGAGACTCTGTCTCACAAAACAAAAAAAACAGTATTTTTCTTTAGCATACACACAAAATTCTTATAAAAAGTTTCTGCATCCTTCTCTACTTGTTTACATGGTATACATCTTAATCACTGATAAGACAGTCCAGTCCAGAAGATGGGATCACCTGGTTCATTCAACCTTTGGCATATGCCTGCTACTAGGTGGCTTAGGACGGTCAAATATGTCCTTCAGCTATGCAGCTTCTGAGCTTACCACCACTCCCCTCACCACCTAAGAGAATAATACTGATTTACTATACCTTTGTAGGCCTCTCATTAAAGATGGTGGATTAGATTCATCTATTCCTAGTTTTTCTAGAAGGAATTCAACTACTCCTGGATTAACAAATCCTAAGGAACTCTGCATGATATTTTCATAGGACTCCAAAGAATTGCTATTTAGTTCAACACTTCTCCTTAAAAAAAGAAAATACAAACACAAAAATTGTAAAATGACTAATCTGACACTCCATTTCAGACAATAGTAAAGAATAAAGAAATAGTATCATTTGAGGTTTAAATACTAATACCATTTTTCGCATAAGATGGTGTGGCAATATTGATATGGTTACCTTTTCCCAAGTCTGAAGTAGTTTAACTGTTATAAAAATAACATGAACACATTTTGCAATAAAAGAAATTAAAATTCCCCTTTGTTGTCAAAAGTTTCACAAAATTTGGTATTCCTCAATGCAAGAGACTTTCGTAATGAACTGTTGTTGAAATAATATAAATTACCTGTAGTACAAAGGAAGCTCTTCAGAGCTAATTACACCTAATTTAATACCAGATAGGTGTGGTGGAAGAGAAGAGCTATACAGAGATACTGCCAGCTTTTCATGGTATCTGTCAATATCCTTGATTCCAGCTTAAGAAAAAAAAAGAGAACTAAGCTGATTAGTAAGAAAATGTAAACTAACATAAAAAATATAAACTTTCCCAAACACTACCCACTTAGACTGTATTTTTTAAAATTAATAAAAACAAAAATTCAACAATCATTACTTTTTTATTAGTATGATGAAACTAATCACCTCGGATGATGTCACCAGTTTGGTAATATGATAAAGGATCCCCATGGTTACTGTGAGACGGCACATCTCTTAAGGGACAAAGAGCCTGTAATGAGAAGTATTTTAAAACACTAGGCATTTCAAGCTTTGGTAAGAACAGTGTCTTCTTTTATCTTCGCCATTTGGTATGAAACAGCTAGTAGATGAACAACCTAAAGTAAAAATTTAAATAACGATTTAGTTAAAAGTAATTTTTGTGTCCAAACACAGTAAAATATGTTTGCTGGTTCGGTTAAAAAACTAAAATCTCATGAAACTTTCCATTAGTTTAGGAACCAAATATGATGGCTTATGACAGTACACTACACGCATCAAAAGCAAACTAAAATTTGTCTAAAAGGTATAAGGATTCCAGTGAAAATGAAATGTGAATTCTCCAAAGTTTTTGTCTGTTATCCAGTCTGTAATACCTTCTGCTTTCTTCCTTTTTATCCGCCTGGATAGATGGCAAATACCCAATCTTTTATCATGACACATTAGTTCAAATTCAGGACTATCCATCTTGGGCAAAGTATTATTGTAAATATATAAATGACAGAAATTTCTAAATTATCCACATGAAAATATACAATGCCAAATATTAACTAATTAAGAATACATATGTTCAACTACAAGAAATAAGTCTGAATACCAATCAACCTCACTATGTCCACTGATACCTCTTTGAGCACTTAAAAAAGGACACTGTGCCTGCCAACCAGAGTTTAAATCTAAAAAATCCCCAAAACCAGAATTGGAGGGACAAACTGGGTAAGTAACTTTCACTAATTTTTGTTAACGATTTTTCTCCAATTAACATTTAATTTCCAAAAGTATCTTGGCAGGTATACTTGAGCACAACTGCATGCAAAGATATAATTCTTGCATTGAGGTGAATTAACAAAAACAGAAGCAATCCAAATAACAAAAATAACTTACTGTGATTTCTAAGTGGGCTATATCTCTCATGATACCACTTCCTAAACAGATCAACACCATGAAAAAACCGAATTCCCGAATAGAACTAATTCTTCCAATCACTATATCACCACGCTCAATATCTCGGAAAAACAGCTCTCTTCGATCCATACTAGGTATCTCCATGAATTGCTCTAAAGGTGGCATGACTGCATAATGATCTAAAAAAAAAAAAAATTAACAAAATCACTAACGATAGTTTTGAGTTCCGTTTCACCTGAAGTACTGTTAAACAGAACGGCAATCTTAAAGGTTTTAAGGCTAAACTCACCTTCACTATCTTCATTAATTTCAGAAGTTGCAGGTGCATCTGATTTCCAGGAAAGTGCAAAAAGCAGATCTGCTTTTTTGGAGATGAATTTCTGTATCTCAATGTTGTCAACTCTCTTCTCTTTTCTTAAAAAGAAAAAAAAATACGAACATTGGTTTATCTGCAAAGCCTTTTTACAAACTCTAACCTTCTGCTTACGGCTTTCATCGGCCATTCCTCTCCATTCCAAGCTCCAGATCATACAATCTCAGAGAAAAAGTTTTAACTAGGCATTCTCTCATTAACTAACCTGGAGGTGGAGAACGGGGAAACTTAAAAAATGACGCCTCCAACCCAGATACGAAAGCTCAAGGGATTTTAGCTAAGGAATCTGCGCCTCTAGCAAGCAGTGCCATAGAAAAAGTTCACCCCGCAAACCGCATTGCACACCTCAAGAGCGCCCTCCCACCATCCAGCCCAAGGCACCAGCGCGCGATCCTCCTGTGCTCACGGCCGCGGCTCCACTTCCTCTAGACGCAGACTCGGGGCTGCGGTAGTGGCTTCCAGAGCTGCGTCCCCTCTCCCGTGACGCAGTGGCACCAACGTCGCATTACCTGCCCTGCAACGGTTGCTGGGGCGGCGGGCCCCGGGTTGGCTCGGCGGCCGACCCCAGGAGGCTTCGGAAGTGTGGATTATCCTGCTGTTCGCTCCGGAGTAGAGAGAGCAAAGAAGACCCATGGCAATTTAGCGACTGCCGCAGAAGGTCCCGGTCCATGGCTAGAGACTGCAGGGCCCGGAGGCTGACAGGCTGATGGTCCCCGGTTCCGTGTCCGCTACTTGAGCCGGGTGGTACGGGAAGCAGAAGAAACCGTCTAGAGGCTGCCGGAAGTACACAGAGAGCGCAACCAGTTACACCCGGAAGTGTTCTGGGGCCGCCCCCACGGCGGCGGCGCGGAGCTCAGCCTCGGTCTCGCGAAACCGAGCGAGACTACGGAAGGCCGAAGGATTGGGCTGAGCATTGCTTGGGCTAAAGTCTGAATAGGGCTTCCAGGAAGTGATGTATGTGAGAAGTTTGATTTTTCAAATGTACGTGGAGTCGCTATTGCGTCGAAATAGCTCGAGCGCTAACCTAGGGTAAACAATAATTCCTTTTCGTATTCATCAAGGTGCTTCTAAGTGCCAATGCCAGGGTAAGAACCCCAAACGAGTCGCACAAGCTTCTTCCCTCGAAGTACTCTGCGTAAATCAATACCTATGTCTCTGACGTAACCGCCTTCAGCCGGCTGCTCCGGGAACGTTTCCCGGTCTTTTAACGTGCAGAAGGAAGGAAGAACACGGATATTTGTTAAGCACCTGGAGTGGTATTCTCCATCCATACCCCATGTACTGTTAGTGATTGTGAGTTCTAAAACCAGGATGGCTTTAATGTCTCGACATGTGCATATGCCATTCAAGTGTTACAGTAACTGTAATGTATACATTCATTTCTTATTTAGTTTATCTCAATGCTTGCTCAAAATTTAGTGTCTGTAGGACTTACTGTATAGTGATGTGTACGCAAAAGTCAATATACTGTACTTATGGACAATTGAAGTGATTTTCAAAGGGAATTTCAACTTAGGTCCTCCATCCCCTTACTTATTGACTTGAGAACCCAACCACTACGATAGCTATTGTACTTTTTCATTTTAGAAGACGAGGAAACATGCTCAGAGAGTCTCAGTAAATTGCTCAATGTCACACAGTAAGAGGCTAGAGTTAGGGTTCCAAATGAAGTATTAATTGATCTTCTCAGGCAGAGTTGCTGGATTGAGTACTTTATCATATAGAAGGCCTCAACCCTAATTTTGAGATCATGTAGCTTCATTTTATTCCAGTAAAAAATTTGTACCATTTAAATATGTGCAGTGCAAATAGTTCAGTATAGTCCTCTTGAGCAGAAACAAACGGTGGCAGTTAGTCTCCTCGCTTCCCACCATGTGTCTTTGAGGAAATCAACTTGCCCTTCACTGTGTTACCACTTTTGTATAGGAAATCTAGTCCAGAACATAATCGATAGTGACACACTGTTTTGTGGAAAACCTAGGCAAATAGGTAAATAGTTTATTGAAATTTGAGAAAATGCAACAAACAAGAATGCAACTGTAAAAGATAAATTTGGGCTGGGCGCGGTGGCTCACACCTGTAATCCCAGCACTTTGGGAGGCCGAGGGCAGATCACTTGAGGTCAGGAGTTCAGAGACCAACCTGGCCACCCTGGCGAAACCCCATCTCTACTAAAAATACAACAATTAGCCGGGCGTGCTGTCTCATGCTTGTAGTCCCAGCTACTCGGGAGGCGGAGGCACGAGAAGCGCTTGAACCCGGCGGTCAGAGGTTGTAATGAACTGAGATCGTACCACTGCAGTCCAGCCTGGGTGCCGGAGGGAGACTCCATCTCAAAATAAATAAATAAATAAATAAATTTCAAGCTTCTATAGGCATATCAACTTTAATAAATGGTACAGACTGGTTTTAAGCCATAACTCTAGAGAATGGTTGTTTTTAGGAAAGAGTGCTGTCACTGAAAAGGAAAGCTGACCACTAAAAATGATTATAGACAGCTTGGTAAATACGTGATTTGTGTTAGAGTCAATCTGTGATCGAGGACCTCATTTTTTGGAGGGACTAAGAAACCAGTGTCTGAGAACCAGATGCCAAACAGTGTTACTTAGCCTGGGAATGTCACCTTCTGAGGCCATTCTTCAGTAGCACATGGTTTTATCACTATGGGATCTGTCTATACTTCTTCCTAATTCCAACACTAGGATAACCCTCCCCCACCTCATATCTTGAACACCTAAAATGGCCATGAACACAGAAAGCAGCTCCTTTTAGGGGGTACGCAGCATTTATCTGGAGTGATATTTTTCGTATAGTAGTGACAGAAGAAACGAACTTTAAGCAAATGTACTCAAAACTCAGGGTGGGATTTTCTGTCTTTGGTTAGTTCCTTATGTGAAAGTAGCCCCATTAGTTGGGTGCCAAAGGCAGTCTTATTCTTTACTTCCGGAATATCACTCCCATCGCAGAGGATAAAGCCTTTTACAGTTACAGGTGTATTTGAATTTTCTTTTGAGACAGCCACCCCTTTGACTTAGAAGGGGACAGAGCACTGGATCTTTGACATAGGACTGGAGGGGGTAAGGAAAGGAAATGGGACTAGCTTTGCTTCTCATTTTGGGAAAACCAGTCCCACATATGGGCCTTCTCAAGTGGGTGAGGAAGAAAATACTGTTTTTCTTTTTTAACTTCTTGCTTTACCTTAAAAAATATCTTTTTTGAGAAATGTTTCCAGATTAAGCAATATGAATAACTAAATGAATATGTTGAGGAGAGGGACAGGGGAAAGTGTGGGATGGGGTTGGGGGAAGAAGACAGGACATTTAAAGCAGTCAGATCTTTGATGTCTGGTTCCTTTGCCTATTTTTATTGTAAGTGTTAAATTCCATTTCTAAATAAACACATAGGTACATTCTTTAATAAACACTCTAGACCCTAGAGATATAAAGGTGAAGAAAACAATTCTGGTTCTTGAGTGGTTCACAGTCCAACACAGGATTAGGCATAAGAAGAAACACATAATGGCACAGTGGTAAGTGCTATTGTGGACGCCTACTAGGGTGTCTGCATAGATCCCTCTTTTCTGTGAAATGAGGTAGTGGGAGTTGCTGGGGGTAAGAGGAGAGAGGGGGAGGCAACTATGTGCAGTCCAGGCACAGAGGGCAATATAATTAAAGAAGTAGAGGTGTGAAGAAGCAAGATGCATTCTGGAGACAGCAAGTGTGAAATGGAGGTAGGTAGGGATATTTTAATTATAGACATTTGGTTATGTAAGTGTGTCATTTCAGGTAGGCTATAGATTGGTGGGAAGAAACCCCTGGTGCCTCTCTGTGCGTACAACACACACACATACACCCGCACACACAGAGTAAATTCCTGATTTCTTTAGCAAAGAACACAGAAACTTAGGGGAAGCAAGGTAGCCACATAAAGAAGTGGGAGAAGCAGCATATCTCATTTTAGCTTTTCTTGGATCTCCCAAGTTTCCACAAATAACTTGTGCAGCTAGTGACATCATCTGCAAAAGATAAAGTCTTTTTTTTTTTTTTTTACATCTCAGAAACTTTTATAACCAATTGTTAAGGATATACAAATAATCCATGACTTTATGAGAAATATTTGTAGATAGATTGTTTCTGGTTCTTGATCCTGATGCCAACAGTTTCAACAAGGTCTCACCTTTAGCTGTGGTTAAGGTTGGAGTGTGTGTCTGTCAGGGATGGTGGGTACCAAATAAGGTCCTAGAAGTCTATTACGATACTTCTAACTTTAATTTTTCAGTATCTTTTAAAGGCTGTCTTCTTTTTAGAAAAAAATGGACTTTATTTTTTAGAGCAATTTTGGGTTAAAAGCAAAAGTGAGGAGAAAGTAAAAAGTTTCCCATGTATCCCCTGCCCCCACACATGCGTAGCCTCCCTCATTATCAACATCCCCCACCTGAGTGGTACATTTGTTAAACTGATGAACCTACACTGACACCTCTTTATCATCCAAAGTCCATAGTTTATCTTAGGTTTCATTCTTGATGTCATACATTCTGTGGATTTGGGCAAATGTGTAATGACATATATACCATTATGATGCATTATAAAGTGGTTTCGCCACCCTAAAAATCCCCTGTGCTCTGTTTTTCTTTTTCTTCTTGGAACCCCTGACAACCACTGATTTTTTTTTTACTGTGTCCGTATTTTTGCCTTTTCCAGAATGTTATATGTTTGAGATCATATAGTATATAGCCTTTTCAGACTGGTTTCTTGGTAATATGCATTTCAGTTTCCTCCATGTCTTTTCATGGCTTGATAGCTCATTTATCTTTAGTGCTGAATAGTATTCAATTTGCTGGATTTATAAAACAATTTATCCATTGTCCTATTGAAGGACATACTGGTTTCTTCCAAGTTTTGGCAATTATGAACAAAGCTGCTATAAACATACATGTGCATGTTGTTGGTGAACATAAGTTTTCAACTCTTTTGCATAAATAGCAAGGAGTACAGTTTCTGGGTTGTGTGGTAAGAGTATGTTCAATTTTGTGAGAAAGCACCAAACTGTCTTCCAAAGTGGCTGTACCGTTTTATATTCCCATCGGCAATTAATAAGAGTTCCTGTTGCTCCACATCATCACTGGTGTTTGATGTCAGGATGCTGAAATTTGGCCATTCTAATAGATGTATAGTGGTATCTCATTGTTATTTCCATTTGCATTCCCCTGATGATATATGAAGTGGAACATCTTTTTATATGCTTATTTGCCATCTGTATATCTTCTTTGGTATGGTGTCTGTTAAGGTCTGTGGCCCATTTTTTAATTGGGTTGTATGTTTTCTTATTGTTGAGTTTTAAGAGATTTTTTGTATGTGTGTGTGTATATATATATTTGAAAATATTTTCTCTTGGCCTGTGAATTGCCTTTATATTCTCCCAGTGGTATCTTTTGCAGAGTAGAAAGTTTTAATTTTAGTGAAATCCAGCTTATCAGTTTTTTTTTTTTCTTTTATGGATCATGACTTTGGTATTGTATCTAAAAAGTCATCACCAAATCCAAAGTCATCTAGATTTTCTTCTGTGTTATCTTCTAAGAGTTTTACAGTTTTGCATTTTACATTTTTTTTTATAATCCATTTTGATTTAATTTTGTGAAGGATGTAAGACCTGTTTATAGATTCATTTTTTTTCATATGGATGTCCAGTTGTTCCAGCACTACTGGCTGAAAAGAGTATCTCTTTTCTCCATTGTAGTGCCTTTTTACTTTTGTTAAAGATCAGTTGACGGTACTTATGTATTATGTAGGTCTATTTCTGGGCTCTTTATTCC